ATGGTTTGATACTCTTATATATTGCAAAATGGTTACCCCAGTAAGGTTAGTTAACATTTCTATACCCTCGCATAAATACTATTCTTTTTGTGTTGGTAATATTTAAGATCTACTCTCATAATAACTTTCAAGTATACAATACAGTGTTGTTAATTATAGTCACCATACTGCACATTAGATCCCCAGGACTTACTTGTGTTACTGTTGGGAGTTTGTACTCTTTGCCTTGTCCATCTTTAATTACTTCCTTCACACACAGTCAACCACCTCCCGCCTCCACCCCTCCATCACTGAACCCTTCTAGCAAAATTTGCTGCTGGTTCAATCTCTCTGCCTCCTCTACCCCTCCCACCCATGCCTGCACCCAAGCAGCTGAAGGTGGCTGGAGAAAAACACAACCCCCTTAACATGTCTCACTTTAAATGTATGATGTCACATCTCAAGTGGGCCCACCGGGCTGCCTGCCAGTCCTCCCACATTTTCCTGGGGAATTCACTTGTCCATTCTCCAAGATGACTGTTTCACACTTTCTCCTCTCGCCTCAGACCGCCAACATTTCTTTTTTCCTTCTTAGTTTCTTATTTGACTGAGAAAATAAAAGAAATATGAAGACAACTTTCACATATTCCCACCACCAGATCTGTCCTCCTGCCTGCCCCTGTGCCCACTGCAGTGGAGGATGGGTCTGAGCCAGCCTGTGCCTTGGGTCCCATCCCTTCTCTGCCATAGCAAAGAAACCAACCTCACAGAGTGGCCATGGTGAGCCAGGCTTAGTCCTAAGTACCTTACATACTAACTGATGTAATCCTACAGCAGCCCTGTGAGGTAGGAACCACCCCAGTTTTACTGATGAGGAAGCCGAGGCACTGTAAATTGTCCACAGTCACACAGCCATACTACATTTGTGTGGCTCAGGTCCACATGTACAACTGTGGCCAAACCTCATCTCCAGACATTCCTCCAGCAGCCCTGTCCCCTGTCTCCTGACCATCAATTTCCCCCTCTCTACCAGATTTCACCCATAACTTCCAAGCAAATTCTAGTATCTCCTATTTTCAGAAGGTACCCTGGGCCCTACATCTCCTTCCAGCTACCCTCTTCTGTCCCTGTTTTTTTTTTTTAAATTTAAATTCAATTAATTAACATTTAATGTATTATTGATTTCAGAGGTACAGGTCTGTGATTCATCAGTCTTATATAACACCCAATGCTCATTACATCATGTGTCCTCCTTAATGTCCATCCCCCACCCCCCTCCCCTCCAGCAACCCTGAGTTTGTTTCCTATAATTAAGAGTCTCTTATGGTTTGTCTCCCTCTCTGATTTCATCTTGTTTCATTTTTCTCTCCCTTCCCCTATGATCCTTTATTATGTTTCTTATATTCCATATATGAGTAAGATCATATGATAATTGTCTTTCTCTGATTGACTTATTTCACTTAGCATAATACCCTCTAGTTCCATCCACATCATTGCAAATGGCAAGGTTTCATTTTTTGATGGCTATGTAATATTCCATTATACACACACACACACATATACCACATCTTCTTTATCCATTCATCTGTCGATGGACATCTGGGCTCTTTTCATAATATGGCTATTGTTGTCACTGTTCTTTTTTTCAAAAAGTTTTGTAAGGTTTTTTTTTTTTTAAATATTTGCTGTATCTACTTTCTTTTTTTCTAATTTTCTTTTCAACCACTCTAGTCTTCCTCCCATTCCACAAAACAACTTAGGTTAAGTCACTAATCACTTCCAAAGTGTCAAAGCCAGAGGTAATGTCAATGCTGGAGGGACAGTCTCAGTTTTCTTACTCAGGCCCTCAGAAGTGTTTTATTCCTTTGACGCTGTCCACACCTCACTCGTTTGGTTTTTCTCACACCTCAGTGGTCACTTTTCCATCTCCTTTGCTGGATCTCCCTCTGCTGGCCAACTTCTAAATGTTCGATTGCCCAGGGCTTAGACTGGACCACTTCTTCTATCTTCACTCATTCTTTTGGTGATCTCAGCCAGTCTCAAGGCTGTAAATATTATTTCTAAATCAATGAGTCCTACATTTTTATCTCTAGCTTTGATCTTCCCTGGGCTTCCAGCGTTTCCACTTGGAAGTTATAGGCATAGCAACCACATGATTAATGTGTCTCAAATAAAATTCTTGATTTTGCTCTTTACCCTTTAGTTTCCATCTTTAATAAAGTGAGATCTTCCTTCCACATCCCACATCGTAATTATCAGTAGGGCTCTGCCTTCAAATTACCTTCACATTACTCCCAGATCTGACCACCTCTTCCTGCTTCCAGATCTACAACCTCATTCAAAGCACCATCATCTTATTCCCTGGCTTGTAAAATAGCCTCCCAATGGGTCTCTTTGCTTTGTCTCTTGCTCTGATATAGCCTGTTTTTCACCCTGAAGCCCGTCATTCCTTATAAGTATATATTAGATCTGACCCCTTCCTACCCCTCCCACCTCATTTCCTGTCCCTTCTTGCTCCCAGGCCAGTCTTTGCCATTCTTTGAACACAGCACACGTGTCTTGCCTCAAGACTTTTGTTTTTGCTGTTCTTCTGTTCTCTGCTGCTGGGAATGTTCCTCCTGTAGATATTGACCTAAATTAAACAAGAGCATTCATTATTTTGGTATAATCTCTGTTCAAACTTCACCTTACCAGAAAAGCTTTCCTTGATTTCCCCATCCAAAAAAGCAGAACCTGCCATTTTCCATCTTCTTCCCGGTTTTAATCAGAGTGTCATGTTGTATTATATCTCTTTGTGTGTGCTGTGTGTCTCCTTGAGTGGCCTGTCAGCTCCATGAAGGCAGAGACAGTGCTGTTTTGTTCCTAGTGCCCGGAACTAGGTGCTTGATAAATAGTCATTGAATTTTTGGAATAGCGAGAGGTATTAAGTCGTACAAAATTAGAGGATATATAAGAATGAAAGGTTAGATGTAATATTTTTTAAAAGTTAAAAAAAACCCTGTAAACAAGAGGTGCAAAGGAATGTGTGTGGACAACATTGTCTAGAAGCAGAAAAAGAGAGTCTCAGAATTCCTGGGTGGCTCTAATCCTCCCTCTTTCCTTCTCCACCATCCCAGGAGAGTTCCTTTTTGCAAACTGCCTTGTGGAGAGCCAAGACAAGAGGCCAAGGGCAAGGCCTTCAGTGAGCTTTGTGAGCTCTCATCAGGGGCTTCAGGGTGCATCCATGGTGAGGGGGGAGCCTCGAAGTATTCCTAGAAAATTAAAATTGGTGAAACAAAGTAAAATTGGGGATCTTACGTTTCCTACAGCTACTCCACTTAAAGCATTGAATGTGACAAATTGTGAATTGAACTCTTATGGTGATGGTAATGATAATGGTTTTTTTCAAGTGTGCTTTTCTGACTGTCTTTGATCAATATCCTATTTCCTAACCTCGTTTAGAGTGGAATTAAGAATGTTGATGTAATCATTTCCACTTTCTTGGGTCAGTCTTCCAACAGGAGCCAGGAGTGCATATATGTACCTCTCACTTAACATGTTGTGACTTCTACTCACTGATATGGAAGAAGAATAAAAGGAAAATTCTGCCCAAATGATGAATTTTCTTGTTTAGTATTATAAGATACAAAAGGGTTGGGACACTCTTTAAGTTCTGTTAGTATTTTGGTGCTTTCAAATGGGCAAATCTTTTTTTTTATCAAAGTATAGTTGACACACAATGTTACATTAGTTTCAGGTGTACAACATAGTCTATACGTTATGCTTGTTCATCACAAGTGTAGCTACCACCTGTCACCATACAATGCTATTCCAATACCATTGACTATATTCCCTGTCCTGTACCTTTTATCTCTGTGACTTATTCATTCCATAACTGGAAGCCTGTATCTCCCACTCCCCTTCACCCACTTTGCCCATCCCCCATCCTTTCTTTCCTCTGGCAACCATCAGTTTGTTGTCTGTATTTATGGGTCTGTGTCTGCCTTTTGTTTGTTTGTTTATTGATTTGTTTTGGTTTTTAGATCCCACATGTAAGTGAAATCATATGGTATTTGTTTTTCTCTGTCTGACTTATTTCATTTAACATAATACCCTCTAGGTCCATTCATGTATTGCAAATGGCAAGATCTCACTCCTTTTATGGCTGAGTAACATTCCAAGGTATTTGTATATACCACTTCTTTATCCATTCATCTATCCTTGGATACTTGGATTGCTTCCATATTTTGGCTATTGTAAATAATGCTGCAATAAACGTGGGGGTGCATATATCTTTTTGAATTAATGTTTTCATTTTCCTTGGGTGGAATTACTGGATCATATAGGATTTCTATTTTTAATTTTTTGAGGACTCTCCGTACCCATCTTCTACAGTGGCTGCACCATTTTGCATTCCCACCAACAATGCATGAGTGTTCCTTTTTCTCTACATCTTCACCAACACTTGCTTGTCTTTTTGTTTCTAGCCATTCTCACAGGTGTAAGGGGATATCTCATTGTGGTTTTGATTTGTATTTCCTTGATGATTAGTGATGTTGAGCATCTTTTTATGTTTGTTGGCAATTTGTATATCTTCTTTGGAAAACTGTTTATTCAGGTCTTCTGCCCATTTTTTAACTGGATTATTTGTTTTTCTGGTATTGAGTTGTATAAATTCTTTATATATTTTGTATATTAACCTAGTGGGTCCACCTTTAATGGCCTCCAGAAAACAGGGATGGGATGTTTTCTACTTTTGTAAATATAAATTTGACTACTAAAAATTTATATTACCTGAACTTTGACTCCAAATAAACATGCTGCATACTAATGATCTGACATAATTGTGATTTTGAAAGTTTAAAACAGGTATATGGTGAGCACATAATCCTGCAAGGCCCACATCGCCCAACTTCGGCTATAAAATTTGTTTCCAAAGGTCAAGCACAATTATTTTGTAGTGTTTGGGTCATTTCAAAAGATTCGTATGTAGGCACTTACTGTATTCCTTTGTGTTTCTTGTTGATTTCTTTTTTTCCTAGAGGGAGAAGAAGATGAGGATGAAGAAGATGAGGAGGAGGAAGATGAAGAAGAGGAAGATGAGGAGGAAGATGAAGAAGATAAAGACACAGAGTCCCTGGATGAGAGCTTGGATGGTGATGCTGAACTGCCTGGGTTTACTCTCCCTGGCATCGCGTCCCAAGAACCTGGCTCAGAGCAGGGAAACCTGGGCCCTTTGGATGGAGCTACCTACCAGGTGCCAGACGCCATCAAGTGGGAACAGCAGAATCAGGGCCTGGGTAAGAGTCATGCGTGTTTCCTTCCTCCTCCCTCTCCTCCTTTTATTTTTCTAAGGTGGCAGCTTTCTTTCTTGGCATCGATTATGGAGCAAAATGGATTTCCTGGTGATGTTTATGGATGGTTCATTTCAGAAAAAGTCATCAGTTTTTTCTTATATGTTTATATTTAGTGCTCTTAAATAGCCAGGCTCCAAACAGTCCCCAGCTGCCCACTAAGAGCACAGTTACCTAGTTTTTGGAAGGAATTCCATCTTTCCTTCCCAGCTGGAAGACAACTCTAGGTTTATGGGAGGACTTCCAAATGGGGAGAAGACGTGAGTAACCAGTGTGCTGAACAAGCAGCGTGAATGGTCTGAAGTCACTAAACAAATATATGGTGTTACCTTCTGTCGCTGTGGAATTTGCTCCCTAGGAGAAATTCTTCCCCCTACCCGTGAGCACATGCTCGGCAGTCTTGTTGCTTTTCTGTTTCCTCTTAAGGCTGCATTTGGTTGTCAGATACAGGCTCAGTTCAGCAGTCAGTGTCCAGACACCCACGTGCTTGCTCTCTCTCGGGCATGGCCCGAATTATCCTGGGGAGGCTCCATGGATGCAGGCTGACCTAACCTCAGACACTCTCTTCCTGGTCAGCAGGGACGCTCCCCCATCTGTCTCCTCTTGGCTTTTTCTGGAGAGATGCTATAAGCTCTGGGTGATTCCTTGAGGCCTTCCACTTCTCCAAAGAAATACCCCCTCTGAAATTCTCTGAGTCTTTAACAGCTAGCCCCATTTATAACCTTCAGTGCAGCAGAGGTTAGGTTTAAAAGTCATATAATCAGTGTTGGGCGATTTCATTAAAAATTTGGATGTTGGTCTGAAACTTTGCTCTGGAATATCATACTCTTGTATCGTGGTGCCTCGGTTGAAATGTCCAATTTTAAATCCTATTGCATATGATTTCTTAAAGATCATTCTTCTCTCTCATGAAAACTCTCTTTTAGATCTGTGGTGAGAAAGGGTGAGTGCATTAATACGAGTGCAGAGCTGGAAAATCGCTGTGTCAGGTTATTGCATGATTGTGTAGTTTAAAATAAGCTCTTTTTTTTAAAAAAAGATTTTATCTATCATCTATCTATCTATGTATCTATCTGAGGGAGAGAGAGCACATATGCTTGCATATGAGTGATGGGGGCTGAACGGGGCAGAGGGAGAGGGAGAAGTAGGCTCCCGGCTGAGGAGGGAGCCCCATGTGGGGCTTGATCCCAGGACCCCAAGATCATGACCTGAGCTGAAGGCAGGCACTTAACCGACTGAGCCATGCAGGCACCTCAGCTCTTTTTTTTTTTTTAAAGCTGAAATTGGACTTGGTAAAACTTTTAAAGGTTTACGGTCTAAGGAGGAATGCTTTTCTTTGATGAACTGTCCTTTCTATTTGGTTAATTAATTCATCCAACAAACCTAACTGAGCACCTACTCTGTTCCTGGAACTTTGCATGGCCCCAGAGACAGAGAGAAAAGCAAGAGTGGTGCCTTTCTTTGATTAGAGCAGAACCCACTTCATAAAGGTTTCAACGTGGGAAGGGTGAGCTTTATAATAAAAGTAGGTTATAAGAGGGCGAAGCAGAAATATGGAAGCCAGCCTTATTTTCTTCCTATGCTGCTTCCTGATTCCAGCCTCCATGCACAGCTAAGTATTCTTAAATTAGAGATACCAATTTAGTGACTTGTTATGCTTTTAAAGGTGATTCCCACAAGTCCTGAGATTTTTTTTTAATAATCCGAGTTTCTCTTACTATAATAATTTACCATTTCCCCAGAAGTCCCTTACCTTTTACTGTTACATCCTTTCCTGGTAAACTCATTTTATCAACATGTTTTTAGCACTGAGTTTCCTGGGAACCAAAACAAGGAACAAATCTTCCAAGCTGGTTTTTTTTTTTTTTTTTTTTTTTCCCTCCCACTGTGGGAAGACTGTGTTTGAGTAATGTCTGGGACTAGAATTTTATTTGCTCATCAACATTTTCTTAGAGTGTCAGGAGTATCTCTCCTAGTCACTTACAACCAGTAATAACTTCTGGATCAATATTAATTGGTACGGTTTTCTAAATACTCTGAGGTCAGATGAGACAGGAAAACCTCTCCTACTTGTGATGGATTTTGTGATAAGTAGAATAGTGTCTGTGTCCTAATCTCTGGAACTTTTACCTGGCAAAAAGGACTTTAGCGAGGTGATTAAGTTAAGGATCTTGAGATGGGGAGGTTATTCTGGATCATCTGGGTGGGCCCAATATAATCACAGGTGTCCTTGTAAGGGGGAGGTAGGAGAGTCAGAGTCAGAGAAAGAGATGTGATGAGAGAGGCAGAGGTCAGAGTGATGTGGCCACAAGCCATGGAATGCTAGCAGCCTCCAGAAGCTTAAAAAGGCAAGGAAATGGATTTTCCCCTTGAACCTTGAACCTCTAGAATGCAACCCTGCTGACACCTTGATTTTAGCCCCTCAAGACCCATTTCAGACTTTTGACCTGCAGAACTGTAAGATGATAGATTTGTGTTGTTTTGAGCCATTAAGTTTGTGGTAATTTGTTACAGCAGAAATAGGAAACTAATACAGATTTCAGTAAGTATTTCATGGGAAGCATCATTTTAGGAGTAGAGCTACATGGCGGCTGTAGTCAGAGTGTGAACATTGTAAACTTAAGTGTAGTTTTTTCTTTTTCAAAGATTTAAGTATTTATTTTAGAGCGAGTGAGAGAGAATGAGTGTGAGAGTGGGGGGAGGGGCAGAGGGAGAGGGAGAGAGTATCTTCAAGCAGACTCCCTGCTGAGCACAGAGCCCAAGGCAGGGCTCAATCCTAGGACCCTGAGATCATGACCTGAGTCAAAATCAAGAGCCGGCCACCCAACCTACTGAGCCACCCAGGTGCCCCAATTGTAGTTCTTCATGAATCATTAAACGTGCAAAAATTGAGACCTTTTAAAAAGTAATTCTATTTAATATAATACCACTCTAATTAACCTTCTTCATTCTTGTTTTCAGTTGGGTTATGTTACTTATAAATTATCACATCCTATTTTATAATTTGAGTGATATTCCAAAGCAAATGCTAAAACCCATATAAACCTTTAAAAATGAACAGATTGAAGTGGGTAGCTGGGATTGGCTAAAAATAACACAAACTCTTTGAATAGATTATAGTTTCATTTCCTGTGAAGTAACATGAGCAGACAACTTAGATGACTTTCTAAGCAAAGCAGTAGATTCATGGCCTCAAATTCTCTGAACTTCTGTTTTCTGCTTGTTACATACACTTTGCCTCTAAAGCTTTGGAGGGAGAGATCTCAGCTTCTTGATCTTGCTGTTGAGAGGTGTGAGTGGAATGAACTGTGTGTCGTTGGGATAGAGAGAATTAACAGTGAAAGTCCCTTGTTATGGTCAAGGTGGATCGATTGATTGGTGAAATGCTAGTAACATATAGGAAGTTCTTTATTCAAATATGCAGAATCAATTTCTTCTCTTATCTAACAAGTTCATTTTCAAATTTATTGGCCAGGACCTGTCCAGAGAGCAGACGTGGTGACTCACCCCACTTCTAATCCTGTTTTATACTGTAATAAATCGCACAACTATGCTTTTTAATGTATAAAATCAATATGACCAAAGTTGAGTCAACATATCCATTTTAATGCCAAAGCATTTCCAATGTAATTAATACCTGGGGGTTCTTTCCTTTTTGTATTCTTTTTTTTTTTTTTTTTTTTAAGATTTTATTTATTTATTTGAGAGAGAGAATGAGATAGAGCATGGGAGGGGGGAGGGTTAGAGGGAGAAGCAGACTCCCTGCCGAGCAGGGAGCCCGATGCGGGACTCAATCCCGGGACTCCAGGATCACGACCTGAGCCGAAGGCAGTCGCTTAACCAACTGAGCCACCCAGGCGCCCCTCCTTTTTGTATTCTATCTCTGTCAGGATGCCTCTAGCTATAGGTAGCAGGAACCTTAACTTAAATTTGTTTGAAGAGTAAAGAAATCTATTTCTTTGAAAACAAGAAGTCCAGAGACAGAGCTCTTGGGTCAGTTGACTCAGTAGCTCCGCAGTCATCAGTGACCGAAGTTTCCCCATCTTGCTGCACTGTCCCCCTTGGTGTGTGACTTTGTCCCTGGACTGGCCTCCTTATGGTTGCAATGGCTGCAGTTACTTCCAGCGTCCCACCCAGAGAAGACATTGTCCAGAGAAAGGAGGCTGTCTTTTCACCATGTTTGTTTCTTAAGAGAGAGCCTTTCCTAGAATCCCCCAGTAGAATTCTTCCTGCCTCTAATCAGCTGGGGTTAGGCCACATGCCCATTTCTAAACAGTCATTGCAAGCGGTCTGTGATCACATGGCTGGTGGGATGGTTGGGGGTGGGTGTCAATCACCAGGTGATCACCCGTGATTCCTGTGTGTTTCTGTTCACTTCCTTGTATCTGATACTATCCATGTCTCTTCTATCCTCTAAGAATCCCATGGTCAATCCTGTTAAATTAATGACCTTATTTTCAATATGTCTTGAGTTCATAAGTTCTGGATGAGAGCCCGAGGGAAGCATTGTTCCATTTTCTTCCTCAGGAGACCATTTTGACTACTTTTGCATTTGGTTGATGTTCTGGATGGACAGCGCTTCCAAAGCCATCAAGTAGTTAAGTGCAGAATTATTACAGCTATCTTCACTTTTTTTTCAAAGCCTACATCTAACATTAGAATGGGCTTTTGATTTAGGAATAGTATATTTTTCTCTGGAGGTCTTTAAAAAGCACGGTAAGTATTTAATTAACAGACTAGGGTTGTTTAGCAGAAGAATGAAGAGCTCTGTGTATCTATCTTTTCATCAGACATTCAGTGAGCACCTACTACGTGTGTGCTGTATGCTGTGGAAATACTGACAGGCTGACATATGTAGAGATAAATTACCATGGGGCAGAGAGTGGTCCCATAGATGTGAGGTCAGTGGATGAGCAATTCCACCGCGAGGACCTGAGTCATCACTT